TTTCTAATTTCCTTTTTATGTTTCTGAAGTGATCCATTGGAAGAGGATCAGAGCTGATCTCCGTACATGTAAGTAAATACAATTGGGATAAGTGTGGGAACTCTTGGATGCAGGAAGACTAGAAATATGTGCTGTGGATGTTGTGCTGTAGTTGGCTTTGTTTGCAATGTGGATGTAAAAAGTTTAAGTAGAAGCGAAGTCAAAACTTTTTTTTTTAGATCTGGATAGCGGAAGGGAGGGTGATGACACCTGTCCGCTTTTTTTGCCATCTGTGTTGTCTTGTTTCTTAATTGAGAATATTTTCCTTATCTTCCTGTTCGATAGCCACAACAGGAAGTGAGGGGAAGGGCTCATGCATGTCTGGTGACTAGTTCGCAGCTCCACGTGCCGAGCTCACCAGGAAGCTGACAGCGCGCAGCGCCAATCACAGGTACTGAGACATGTTCCCGGTCCGCAGCTGCAGAGATCGGGAAATGTCTCAGTGCCTGTGATTGGCACTGCGCGCTGTCAGCTTCCTGCCGGCCTCGGCATGTGGAGCTGCGAACACGCCCGAGCTCATCACTACTGGTAACATCCCAAAATTTGGGATTTTGGGCTCATACAGATGGGTGTGCACATCCGTACAGCATTCACACCTGTAAAATGACCCGATCCCGGAAGGGACAGGTGCTGCGTGCTGCGTCCTCTGCATCATAAAGCTACCCTTGGCTCACAATACTGCTGTCCTGAAGGGCACTTACAACTCATTAGGTGAGCGCTGTTTATTACAGGAAGAAGGAGCACCCACTGCTACCCCCACCCCGTTCCCCACGAGATGCTGCAACAGGGGGGCAACAGCTTCAGCCTGGCTCACTATAAGAGCGGCCCTGGGTACATCCTGAGCATTGGTATAGCCTGAGCATTGGTACAGCCTGGGCTTTGGCAAACCCTAAGCATTGGTACACTCTGGGCATTGTACATCTTTAGAAATGGTAAACACTGGGCATTGGTAAACCCTGGGCACTGGTATACCCTGAGCATTGGTAAACCCTGAGCATTGGAACACTCTGGGCATTGTACATCTTTAGAAATGGTAAACACTGGGCATTGGTAAACCCTGGGCACTGGTATACCCTGAGCATTGGTAAACCCTGAGCATTGGAACACTCTGGGCATTGTACATCTTTAGAAATGGTAAACCCTGGGCATTGGTAAACCCTGGGCACTGGTATACCCTGAGCATTGGTAAACCCTGAGCATTGGAACACTCTGGGCATTGTACATCTTTAGAAATGGTAAACCCTGGGCATTGGTAAACCCTGGGCACTGGTATACCCTGAGCATTGGTAAACCCTGAGCATTGGAACACTCTGGGCATTGTACATCTTTAGAAATGGTAAACCCTGGGCATTGGTAAACCCCGAGCATTGGTAAACCCCGAGAATTGGTACACCCTGGGCACTGGTATACCCTGAGCATTGGTAAACCCTGAGCATTGTTTAAACCCTGGGCATTGGTAAACCCCGAGCATTGGTACGCCCTGGGCATTGTTTAAACCCTGGGCATTGGTAAACCCTGAGCATTGGTACCCCTGCCTCACCACAATGTTCGCCTCCTCATTGGTCATAGTGGCTCAGCGCTTCACATGGAGGGAATGTGCAGATGAATAGGGGGATGCTAAAACTCCATCTTTGAAGGCGGATTCACCATATGCCTATGAGCACTTTGAGTTCAGGGGGGCCGTGGGGGGCCCCTTGGATAAGATAAAGACAGGTAAATGCAGGCAGCTGAGTTCCTGATTTTAACTCCTTCGGTGCCATCACAGAACAAAAGTGCCCATCGGCCGGACAGAACAATGAACAGGAAGCGGCTGAGGATGCAGAAATATTTCCATCATTACTGCAGGCTGGAGAAGAATTTGGTTTATTTTCTTGTCTCGGGGTGATTATAAAGATGCAGCCACACTCATTTGTTTTATGAAAACGGTTCTTTATTTACTGCTGATTGTTTCGGGCTGTTCAGCGGAGTAAATCTGCCTCTCGTTTAGTGCTTGTAATCCAGAACGTTACCATATGTGAGGGGCAGCCGGGCATGATAAGTGACTAATACAATTTACAAAACGAGCATGAAAGCGTTTGACGTCCCGAGCTCGCCTCAGACAGACGCCCTCCCCTCCTGGTACACGGAGCAGACAGCCTGAGCTCCCATAGGGCCCTGAGCGGAGTTAACTCTGTAGGGCCACACTGGCAGGAATAACCCCAGAATCAACCGAAACCCCTCTGCTACTCATTCTGCAGCAACCAACTGAACACACACACAAGACATACACTATATTGCCAAACGTATTGGGACACCCCTCCAAATCATTGGATTCAGGTGTTCCAACCATCTCCATGGCCACAGATGTATAAAATCACGCACCTCGGCATGCAGACGCTTCTACAAACATTTGTGAAAGAATGGGTCGCTCTCAGGAGCTCAGTGACTACAAGCGTGGTACCGTTGTAGGTTGTCACCTGTGCAAAAAGTCCATCCGTGACATTTTCTTGCTACTAAATATTCCGCGGTCACCTGTTAGGTGATGATGTATCAGTAACTATAGAGTTGCATTGATGTTTGTCTTTTACATCTGCCTGGTACTTAGCTTTAATGTTATGTATATTTATCAGCAGGGACCTCCATGATTCTATGAGCGCCAATCATGCATTCAAGAACCTACCTGCTATTAGAGCGGGATTATGAGGATCTGCAGGAGACCCCGCTCTATGTGAGTATATGAGTCGATGTGAGTATATGAGTCGATGTGAGCATATGAGTCGATGTGAGTATATGAGTCTATATGAGTATATGTGAGATGGGTCTATGTGAGTCTATGTGAGTATATGAGTCAATATGAGTATATGTGAGTATATGAGCCTATGTGAGTATATGTGAGTATATGAGTATATGTGAGTATATGACTCTATGTGAGTCTATGTGAGTATATATGAGAATGGTCTATGTGAGTCTATGTGAGTATGTATGAGATGGGTCTATGTGAGTCTATGTGAGTATATAGATATATGTGAGTCTATGTGAGTATATATGAGATGGGTCTATGTGAGTATATATGAGATGCATCTATGTGAGTCTATGTGAGTATATATGAGATGGGTCTATGTGAGTCTATATGAGTATATGAGCCTATGTGAGTATATACAGGTGAAACTCGAATAATTAGAATATCGTGCAAAAGTAATTGCAGTAAGTGCTGCAAAAGGGGCCCAAACCAAGTACTGAGTACATATGCATGCTTGTACTTTTCAGAGGTCCGATATTGTTCTATGTACAATCCTTGTTTTATTGATTGCATGTAATAATCTACTTTTTTGAGGTTGTGGATTTGGGGTTCTTGGGGTTTTCATGAGCTATAAGTCATAATCATCCCAATTATGACAAATCACGGCTTGAACTATCTTGCTTTGCATGTAATGAGTCTCTCTCATACATTAGTTTCACCTTTTAAGTTGCATTAGTGAAATAAATGAACTTTGCACGATATTCGAATTATTCGAGTTTCACCTGTAGATATACGTGTTTATTTTAGAGGATGTGTCACAGGAGTGGGCAACCTCGGCATTGCAAGAATCAATATAACATCATTGCATTGAATACTTCATCCCAACATTTCAAAGTAACCAATGGAACCACTCAACTGTCACTGCCAACTGCAAATGGTTTTAAAGGGACCGGGTCAAGTCTCCAA